AAAAAAAAAAAAAAGTATTCATTAGCAAAATACATGGCCAATAATAGTTAACACAGAACAAAAGTCTCCACTCACAAATAAAATGCTCCCAAACCCTATGGCCAAGGCTACCCTGTATCACAGGGTACTAGGTTGAAGGCCATTTTTTCTTTGGCTACTCTCACCTAAGTGGAAAAACTCCACCAGAGCCATTCTTTCCAAAAGTAGCTAACCAACAAGAGCACAGTGAGAGGGCCTCTTGGGCACTACAGAGCAATAGCCATCTGTCTTGCTTCTGGTCTGCATTTCCACAGTGGTTGAAGAGCAACTTTGGAGACTTGTCTATAATGGATTAGCAATGCCCTTGTGCTAGCAATACCCTTGTGATATAAAATGGTCCACAATGAACCACACTTTTCTGAATTCATGCCTTGTGCAGAACCCTCCCACTCTGAATCTGTGCTAGCTTTATGACTTGGCTGGACCAAAAGAATGGGACAGAAGTGACACTGTCCAAGTTCCAAGACTAGGTCTTAAGGGGCTTTGCTAACTTCCACATTCACCTTCATGGAGTTTGAGACACTGCACCATGAAAGAACCTGAGAGGAAAGACCACATGGAGAGAGTGACCCAGCCATCCCTGGTGACCCAGGCCCCAGACCACCCTACGGCTAAATGCAGCTGCAGAAGTGAGCCCACGCAAAACCAGCAAAGAACTGCCTGGTCAACACTGAAATGCGAAAAATAATACAACTTCTGTCTTAAACCACTAAGCTTTGAAGTGATTTGTTATATAGTAGAGACTCAGACATGCCAACTACAGCTTCTACTTAGAGAAATGGTCCCTGGAGCCACATGCTATTCGAATCCCAGTTCTATTACTTCTTCATTATATGATCCTCAGCAAGCTGCTTAACCTTTCTGGGCCTCAGTTTCTGTATGTGAAAACTAGGGGTAAGAACAGTACCAAATACTCAATAGAGCTGTTTTAAGGATTAAATGAATTCACATTATAAAGCATTTGGAACAGTGTAGAACACACAGCAATTACTCAACCCCTGTTAGCTACTGCTATTATTGGAGACTTTCAGAAGAGCAACACAATTGACCTTTACATAATTTATCTCAATGTAAGGATACTTACAACATTTCACAATTCCAAGTACATCCCTCATGAGGTTGTCACTGCCCCCCTAACGTAACTGTAAATGACTGTGAAGAGGACTTTCAAGTGCTGAGGTCCTCACAGCCTACATGGTCATGGACACTTACCTGCATAGGGGAGACAGCTGCTGCAGGAGGGGTTTTCATAGGACTTGGACTCAGAGGTGTTCGAGGAATTGCAGCTGCAGCAGGGTTTGGTACTACAAAAACAAACAAATACTGAGTGTATCACCGTACAGTGGACGCTTTCATAACTGGTCTCCCCTGAAAGGTTCCCAAATTATCCAATGCTCTGGCTCCCCTGGAAACCGTCCTGACATCTAACCTCCACAACACAGACACAATTGTGCCTAGCAGGTGGTGCTTCTCCTGACACTAGGTGGACTGCCTGTTCCTCAGAGTCCTTGCGTTGATTCTCAACCCTGGTTATGCCAGTCATTTCATCTTTGCCATTTAATTAACTTTTGTAGTTAAAGAGCTCCATAAGCCAATGAAATTCAAGTTCAAAAAACCCAAGAGGAGTATTTCCATAAAGGCATCAGGTGAGAAGCCTGACCCACAGTGGATGCACATTCAACGAAGGAACACTGGAAAACAAAAACGAGAAACAAAGGAACGCTGGGCTCCTATTCATCTTTTCTCATGTTCTCCTGTGGAGTTCATCACTTCACAAGTATTTTCTGGTCTGCATTTAATGCATGATGTGTAATTATTCACTCGCATGTCAGTCTCCCTCTCTAAACTAAACTCTTCAAAAGTAGGATTCATAATTTACTCACTTCTAGATACTTGGGCTTGGTACAAATTCTGGTAGAGGGTGCATAAAAATGGTTATTCATTTGAAGTTAAATTAAATACAAAACAGGACAAACCAATGAAATCAGACATATCACACAGTGAGAAAAGATGAAGAAGTAGATCACTGTAGATCACTGTGGACCTTTTAAGGCAGCCAAGCACTTATATTTAAATTGCTATTTCTTTTTAAGTTTATTTATGTTGAGAGAGAGAGAGAGAGAGAGAGAGAATATCCCAGGCAGGTTCTGCACTGTCAGCTCAGAGCCCGATGTGGGGGCTTGATCTCATGAACCATGAATGAGATCATGACCTGAGCCAAAATCAAGAGTTGGATGCTTAACCGACTTAGCCACCCAGGCGTCCCTTAAACGCTATTTTTAGATTCATTTTTTTTAAGGAGATAAAATTCACATAATAGAAAGTAATTTTAAAATGTATAGCTCAATGGTATTTAGTATATTTACAAGATTGTGTAACTATCATCACTTCTACCTAGTTATAAAACATCTTTATTACCCTAAAAGGAACCTCAGTATCTATTAAGCAATCACTTCCCATTGATCTCTACCTGAGCCTCTACCAACCGCCAAACTGCTTTCTGTCTCTATGGATTTACCTATTCTGCCTATTTCCTATAAATGGAATCTTACAACCTGAAGTCTTTTGTGTCTGGCTGCTTTCACTTAGCATGTTTTCCACATGGTAGTATGTATCAGTACTTCTTTTATTCCTCCTTATAGCTGAATAATATTCCATCAGATGGACACACCATATTCTGTTCATCCACTGATCGATTAATGGACATTTGGGTTGTTTCTACATTTTGGCTGTTGTGAAAAGTGCTGCCATGAACACTTGTGTACAACTACCTGAATACTTATGTTAACTTGTTTTGCACATATAATTAAGCAGTGGAACTGCTGAGTCACTTAGATATATTTTATTATAACATTGCTTTTTCTTTTTTTTTTTTTAATGTTTATTTATTTTTGAGAGAGAGGGGGGGGGTGGGGGAGGGCAGAGAGAAAGAGGGAGACACAGATTCTGAAACAGGCTCCAGGCTCTGAGCTGTCAACACAGAGCCCAACGCGGGGCTTGAACTCACGAACTGCAAGATCATGACCTGAGCCGAAGTCAGACGCTCAACCGATTGAGCCACCCAGGCGCCCGCCCCTATAATATTGTTTTTTCAAAAAGATCAGTATAGAAGCAGATTTATCATCTTTTTGCATTAGAGCTCGTTTCATCAATATTTTGAATAACTGCATGACTTTTAGTGTAGACATTCCGTTATTATTTCATTTTAGAAGAATAGATTTTTGTAAGTCTTTCTTTCATCTTAGTCCGTCATATTACCCAGAGGTAGCCACTAACAAGAGTTCCAAGTGCATCTTTCTGCACTTTTAGTGCAAAAATCTATGTATTTAAAAAACAAAATCACGCTATACAATACTAGTCTGCAACTTACTATAAAGTATTGCAGGCATATTTTAACATCAGTACTTCGAGATTGACCTCATCCTTATTAAAAAATGCACAGTATTCTATTGTACTAATGGGTCATAACTGACTTAATCCTTTAAATGGGCACATAAGCAATTTTCAGGTTTTCCATTTTTTCAAACAACGCTACATTGAAAACTTTGTGTGTATAGCTGTATCTATGTATCTTTATAAACTTGTTCCAGTATTATGTATGAGAACTTCAGAGTCTCTGAATATGGCATTTTAAATTGGAAGATACTGTCCTCCAAAACATCTGTACCAACAGTGTGTGTGAGTATACAAGTGACTTTTGCTCTGATTTTAAGTCAAAGAAAACTGATTTGTGTATAGTCATAGAACATAGATTATAGAAACTCTATTATTAGAGTGAATTAGAATAAAGCCTATCATGAAGTTTAAAGAATTTTTAGAAGAAAATATAAATTTTACGACACATTATATTTAGTTGGGTTTTTTTTTGAGATTTTACTTATTTTTTAAATGTCTACTTATTTTGAGAGAGACAGAGAGAGAGAGAGAGAAAGAGAGAGTACAAGCACATGTGAGTGAGTGGGAAAGGGGCAGAAAGAGGGAGAGAGAGAATTCCAAGCAGGTTCCATGCTCAGCACAGAGCCCAACATAGGGCTCAATCTCACCTCCTCAAAATCACAACCTGAGCAGATATCAGGAGTTGGACACTTAACTGACTAAGCCACCCAGAAGCCCTAAGATTTTAAGTAATCTCCACACTCAACGTGGCGCTCAAACTCACAATCCTGAGATCAAGAGTCACATGCTCTACTGACTAAGCCGGCCAGGTGTCCCCCATTTAGTTGTTTTTAAAAACTACATCCCTGGGGTGCGTGGGTGACTCAGTCAGTTAAGCATCCAACTCTTCATTTCAGCTCAGGTCATGCTCTCATGGTTTGTGAGATGGAGCTCCGCGTCAGGCTAAGGCTGACAGTGCAGAGCCTGCTTGGGATTTTCTTTCTCTCTCCTCCCTCTGCCCCTTCCCCTGCTTGTGCTCACTCTCTCTTTCAAAATAAATAAGCAAACATAAAAACTACATCTTTTTCCCTTTCCCAGAGCTGAGGATTAGAGAGATGAAAAGGAGGCAGGCATCTGAAGGTAGGAAGAATGAGCTTCTGGGTACAGAAGAGCCCATGTGACATGGAGCCTGACTTATTTCTGGACTGAAGTCCAGTGAGGCAGGAGTATAGAGAGCAGGGGAAGAGTGATCCAACTGAGGCAAGAGGAAGGCAGGGTCAGACCACGTAGGCATCTGGGGATCTGTATTTCATTCTAACTATAATAAAGCAGCTAAAGGAGTTTAAGCAAAAAAAAGATCTTTTTGTCATGAAATGAAATGGAGAGAACTGAAATTAGAAGATATGGTGGTTGGTACTAGCAGTTGATTGTGCTGCTAGAGATGGAGAGAAGTAGACAGAACAAAGATGTGTCTGCTAGAGGCTAGACCGACATATGGAGGTGAGAAAGAAAAAGGATTTAAGGAAGGAGGATTTCTGGCTTAATTAACTGGGTAGAACAGTGCTGCCACTTACAAGGGGAAAGACTGAAGCTCAAGGACAAGAGTGTGGTTTTGGACAGAAGATGTGTAGGAGATACCTGAGTGTCAATGTCAAGCAGGCCTTTGGATTTATAGACTTATAGGAATTTAGAGGAAGGGAAAGAGCTGAATTCATACATCCGGAAGATTTTAGGCACAGAGAAGACACTCAAAATCCCAAGACTATCTTAAGACCAGGCCTGAGACCAAGATGTCTGAAGTTGAACAGACCCTAAGTCTCCTGCTAAAGTCACCTGACTGTAAGACTAACTCATTAATACTACATGAAATTTGATGAGGCTTAGAGAGTAGGATGGTAAAGAAAATCAAACCAGGCCAGAGAATTGATGGTAAGTGAACAATGACTGCCTGCCCATGGCATAGGGTATAAGAAATTACCTTGCGATGCACTGTCGAAGGATTTGATGAGGGTTTTTACCGTTGGGGTTGGCTCAGAGGAAGTTGAGGACCTTCGACTCAGTCCCATCCCTTGCCTTAAGGCTGCCAAATCTCTCTCAACAGCATTCATGTAGTTGTACACCCGGCCTCGCTCTTCCTCTTGCCTGAAAACAATATTGAAATCAGGGAGTTTTTACACATATACTAGCAAATACACATTTTCCCCTCCCTACTGAAAAGCACTAAAAAGTATCAGTTTTTAAAAAGACATTATCAATAGAGCTGAGTAAATTACCTAGTCTAATATTCTCATTTGCTTGGTAAATTCCAGGAAATGACATTAAAATTTTTATATCAGGTTATACTAAATAGGTTAAGTAACCATCAGAATCCATTTTCATCTGAGTAAGTGTAAGGTGAGGACATCAGTAATCAATTAGCAGTAAAATGGGAAGTGGACTGGCCAAATATCTTGACTCAGAACTGGGGATTTCAAGGTTATGTCCAGCTTTGAAGAGTCTGGGAATTCACCAGTACACATGGATTATCTGTACTAGCAGGATCTAATATGCCATGCATAGACATGGAAATACAAAGAAATGAAATCAAAGCTCATATTCTTTAAAACAAACAAAATCTGCTACAGTCTCCAAATAGATTTCTACAAAGGAAAAAAAAAAAAAAAGCCTGGGCCCCATATTAGTAACATGAGTCTCTGAGATGCTCAGTGTGATGGATCATGAGTCACTGAAAAAAATCAATTACACTTTATTTCTGGCCAGCTCTAATTCACTGAGCTGACAAAAGTTTTCATCTGTAATGAGATTCAGTTGCAGAGTTTGTGCATGTCATAAAACTATCAAGTAAGATTATAGGTGGACAAAAACAAAGTCAGACCTTGGGAAATTTTGGTAGCCACTTAGCTCTTCTGACAGTTTTTCTCCTCCAGATGTACCACAGGGTCTCATGCTCAGAAGGTTTAACAAAGAATCTGTAACAGTGATTATCAAACTTTTTGGTCTTGGAGCCCCTTTTCACTCTTAAAAATTACTGAGGATCCCAAAGAGCTTTTCTTTATGTGGCTTATATCTATTGACATTTATCGTAATGGAAATTTAAACTAAGACATATTTAAAATATTTAACGAACTAAAAATAAAAATAAACCCAGGACTTATCAATATGACATATTTTCATGAAAAACAACTTTTTTCTAAAACGAAAAAAAAAAAAAAAAAAAAAAAAAAAAAAAAAAAAAAGGAAAAGGAAGAACAGCAGTGTTTTTATACTTCTCCATATCTCTTTGATAGCTGACTTAATAGAAGACTGCTAGGGGCACCTGCTAGGGGCACCTGGGTGGCTCAGTGAGTTAAACATCCAACTCTTGATTTTGGCTCAGGTCATGGTCTCAGTCTCACAGTCATGGGATTGAGCCCTGTGCTGGGTTCCGTGCTGGCAGTGTGGAGCCTGCTGGGATTCTCTCCTTCCCCCATCTCTGCCCTTCCCCACCTGCTTACGCACATGTTCTCTCTCTCAAAAAATAAACTTAAAACAAAATAGAAGACTGCTAGATTCTCATTTCTTCTCTATTCAGTCTATTGCAAAATAAAAAAGAACAAGCCTCACAGATAGTAGTAGCTGGAAAAGATTGTTTTAATGATATTAAAATAGATAACTATGGCTTTTTAGACAACTGAGACTTTTTCCTTGATACCATACCAAAATGTAGTAAGTGGTGGCTACTTAAAAGTTAGGTGCAATGTGGAATTTGAAACCATGTGAATAAACTTTTCCTATTCTGTCCATTAAAAATCTCCTAGCCTAATGTGGAGAAAGAGGAACCTTTTGCATTGCTGGTGGGAATGCAAACTGGCGCAGCCACTCTGGAAAACAGTATGAAGGTTCCTCAAAAAATTAAAAATAGAATTACCCTACGACCCAGCAATTGTACTACTAGGTATTTATCCAAAGGACACAGGTGCACCCCAATGTTTATAGCAGCACTATCGACAACAGCCAAAGTATGGAAAAAGCCCAAATGTCCATTGACAGATGAATGGATAAACAATGGATATATATGTGTGTGTGTGTGTGTGTGTACACAACATATATATACATGTGTATATATATACACACATATATACATACATACATACATACATACATACATACATGGAGTATTACTTGGCGATCAAAAAGAATGAAATCTTGCTATTTGCAACAATGTGGATGGAACTAGAGTGTATCATGCTAAGAGAAATTTGCTAGTCAGAGAAAGACAAATACCGTATGACTTCACTCATATGTGGAATTTAAGATACAAAACAGATGAACATAAGGGAAGGGAAGCAAAAATAATATAAAAACAGGGAGGGGGGACAAAACATAAGAGACTCTTAAATATAGAGAACAAACTGAGGGTTGCTGGGGGGTTGTGGGTGGTGGGATGGACTAAATGGGCAAGGGGCTTTAAGGAGGATACTTGTTGGGATGAGCACTGGGTGTTATATGTAGGGGATGAATCCCTGGATTCTACTCCTGAAATCATTATTGCACTATATTTTAACTAACTTGGATGTAAATTGAAAAATAATAAATATAAATAAAAATTTAAAAAAATAAAAATCTCCTAGTCTACCTGACATTTTAAATAGATTTTTACCCATATGTGACTGTGTAAGATCATGCATTGGTCATACTCAGTGTTCACTGAGGTACCTGAATTTTCCAAATGTTGACATCTGTCATCATAGGATTTATTTTTTAAAAGTCACATTTGTTTATATCCCCAGTGATCTCATCAGGAAACTCTTTAAATATGGGAAGCTGACAAGCTTGCGACGGTGGATACAAGTTTCCCCAAATCCTAACATTCACTTGAAAGCCCACATTTTAGCACTGGCAACAAATATGACCAGCTGTTTTCCTTGAAATGACATGGACAATCTCTCTTAATTCGTCTTCAAGAAATATCCACCAAATCGGAATACCCATAGTTTGCCAGTCAGAAAAAAACTCAAATTAAAACAATCACAGACGGGGCGCCTGGGTGGCGCAGTTGGTTAAGCGTCCGACTTCAGCCAGGTCACGATCTCGCGGTCCGGGAGTTCGAGCCCCGCGTCAGGCTCTGGGCTGATGGCTCAGAGCCTGGAGCCTGTTTCCGATTCTGTGTCTCCCTCTCTCTCTGCCCCTCCCCCGTTCATGCTCTGTCTCTCTCTGTCCCAAATAAATAAATAAATAAATGTTAAAAAAAAAAAAACAAACAAAAAAAAACAATCACAGAAAGCTTTCCTGGAGACAATCTTGTACTTGGGTATATAGCAGACAGAGTGCCAAGTGCTTTATGTATACTTCCCATTCATCACATGGAATGTTACAAAGAATATACTCAAGGACCAAAAGTTAGTAAAATTATTACATCAAAGACATCTTCAGGACGCAATGGAATGATTCTATAAGAAAAGAATTTCAGTTACTCGGGTTAGCTTTAGAATGAAACATTTCTGCTACACCATTCATTTAATAGTACACAGAAAAAAGGTAAAGTAATAGGAGTTTTACACCAATAGAGAAACAATGCTCTTCCACCTCATTCTACGTTCTGCTTAAGGAAGCCAAAGAAAAATGGTTTAGTAATACTTTTCTCTGGGTCATACACTAGAGCTAGGCAACAATAAGACAAGATAGCTTTTCAATGATATCCTGTTAAATATTTTTCTATATTTTTTCCTCTGTCTACTTAAGTAATGCATAATCAAATTCTTTTTTTTTTTCTTTCAGTAAACTCTATGCTCAAAGTAGGGTTCAAACTCACGACCCTGAGATCAAGAATCACATGCTCTACTGATTCAGCCAGCCATTATCAAAATCTTAGTAATATCCTCAAACATAAAAACTACTGCCCCCCTCCTCCACTCATTAGATGGAGTTTCACTGAGGAACTCAGAGCATATCACAAATGTCATCTCATCTAATACTTTACATGGGTTTCCAATGACCTCTATGTTAGGTGGGAAAAAACACTACTATAGAGATCTAGATGGTTATAAACATTACAACAAGTGAAAACTCCTCAAGCTGAGTGATGGAGAGAAACTCATTTTGCATTCTTTATTTGGATCTCTAACAATATTAAAGTATACTCATCATTGCCCTGAGCACTGTATAGACAGATCTCCTTTAAACCTTACAGCAATACTGTAAAGCAGGCAGTACTGTCTCCATTTTAAAGATGAGCAAACTGAGGCTTGGGGAAGTTAAGTGACCTGACCAAGAACACACAGCCAGTAAGTGGCAGAACTGGACAGAAGCCAAGCCTGTCTGCTTCCAGAGTATACATCCTTAATCAGAGGCTATTAATCTAAAGAAAAGTAACAGTACTGGAGTGTGTGGATACAGGAAAGGAGAGACCATAAGGTACCATTCTGGCCCCTTCAGAGTTATTGATTACAGACACTGCCAACAGCTCTGAAAGATCCATATAGGCTGTGCTATTTTACAGGTGTCATAAAACGAGGCCAGGAAAGCTGAGTAACTCCTACTAGCATCCATACTCAGTCACACTAGTGTCAACCCCCACATTCTTTCCGTAATACCACATCACAAAATTGGGATTTAAGTGTTCTCTATTAAAACATAAGCGCACAATTGGCTTCTTAAAACATACTTGCGTGACTTTATTTCCTCCAATTCTTTTGTGAGTTTCTCATTTTTTTCTTGAGCCTCATGTAACCGGCGCTTCAGATCACCAATCTCCTCTTGGGCTTCAGATTTAATGTCATTTGCAATGACCACAGCAGTCTGGAGATCAGCTTGAAACTGCCGCCATTCTGCAGATTCTTCCTACATTAAAAAACTAAATTTTTATTTCCAAAAGAAAGTAATAAAAACTTATAAAAACAATAAAATGTATTTATGATTCAGACTGTAATGCACTGTCCTAAATGATGATTAATTTCTTTTAAATCCCAGAGAATTGCTATTACCATTTCTAACAGGCAACAGGTAATACAATTAATAGTAGTAAACTTATTCTTAATGAGGAAAAGGTTTTCTAGTTGATCTGTCTGCTAAGGCATCAAGCACGAGTGCTCAATCAGTATGAATGACAATAATGTCAAGCCTCCCTTCCTTATGCAAGTTTCTAAGTCTTATGAAAATAAACACATTATTTAAAATTTATATAGCATTTTTACCTCTGAAAAGCTGAAGAAGGTAGATAAATGGTATGTGAACCATACTGAAAGATTTTACATGAAAAACTATAAATATCCTGACATCAAAAACTAACAGGAAAAAAAATCAAAAGTAAAGGAAAAGGAAGAGGAAGCCAGAAGAAAAACACAAAACTCAAACTAGGCAGTCAAAATCATACAAAAAGAGGAGCTAAGGAACTGTATGATCTGCTGCTTCCCACAGTCATGGAGGATGCGGGTGTGGCTGGGTGGGCAACCTGCCCCGCCCCAGGGCGTCTCCTCCACCAGAGCCACAGCTGTCCACTCCCAGGCCCAGCATCCATCACCCCAAAGCAATTTCTGACACCATGAATATAGCCTAAGTAACTGAGGCAGGACCCAAACTATGAGATGAGCTTCCCCAATCTGCATCAGAGTGGCACTGCTATTGGCAAGCTGATCAAATCCACAGAAGACAGAAAACCCAAATGGAAACAGCTTGGCTTGGGACACTTTCTAATCAAGAGCTTATAAACTTTCTTTCCAAAATATAACACTTGCTTTCTAAATCCATCTTTTAAAAATTACCACTCATAAATTACTAGTAGATTCTTCTACCCAGAATCTAGCACTGATCCCAACTTGAAATGATGCCATTTACTTTCTGCCCAAAGCCCAGTGGGATCAGTATTTTAACCGTATCTGAAGCTTAAGATGAATGCTAACACAGTCACAGGCTACATGGCACTCAACTTTCAGAAACCTAGGTTTTCTAATGAGATAATACATGAAGATTTATCCTACCCGAAGTCTCCTGTGGAGTGTCTTGATTTCTCTTTCCATGTCATGTTTTTGGTCCTGGAGTTTTTTAACTGTATCTGAAAAGAGCACAGAAGTTTAAATATTTATTCTTAAAGCTGTGTTCAAAAGGAATAATATAAAGGGAGGAGGAATTTAAATATAACATTAAAAAAAAAGGTCATCCTGCCCAAAGACTTTATTTTTAATACAAAACTTTAAAAGAAAAAAAGAATGTTCAATCCAAGTATTAACCAATATTACTTTCTATGGAAAATACCAAATTTAAATCACAATTTCTGGATTGCTTCCTTCCTCAGTGTCTAAATTCTGAAACAAAAAGTTAAGTAAAATCAATTGTTAGAAACACGCACATTGTTGGCTCATAACCAATCAAAATAACACTGACTACTATTAAAGTGTGAATTTCGGGGCGCCTGGGTGGCGCAGTCGGTTAAGCGTCCGACTTCAGCCAGGTCACGATCTTGCGGTCCGTGAGTTTGAGCCCCGCGTCGGGCTCTGGGCTGATGGCTCAGAGCCTGAAGCCTGTTTCCGATTCTGTGTTTCCCTCTCTCTCTGCCCCTCCCCCGTTCATGCTCTGTCTCTCTCTGTCCCAAAAATAAATAAACGTTGAAAAAAAAATTAAAAAAAAAATAAAGTGTGAATTTTTAATCAAAAGGGTTATTAAACTAAACTCTTTATGAAAGATAACTTACTTTACACACTGGAAGAAATTCTAAGAAAGTGGTGAATTAGAAAAATGTTTACAGATTTACTAATTATCTATATAATACCCTGGAGAGCTGCTATTTACATGAATTCTATGGAAAGTCTTTTTATAAAATAAGTGGTATATTCATAAAGTAAATTAATACTCCTCAAATTAGTTCTTGCATAATATAAATTTTCTTCATATAATTCCACATTCACTGTAAACATTTAATTAGTACCGCTAATATGCAAAGTACCATTCTAGATACAGTGGGTATGCAAATGTGAAGGCACAGTCAAGACTGGTGCCCCTGGAACGAGAAATTTATGGGAAGTCACATTCTATTTGGAGGTTCTGCTCAAAAACCCATGCTTAAGAGGAAATGTCTTAGGAGGTGCCACACTGGTAAATGCCACCAAGTAAGTCTATCACAGTTGGTTACTTTGATAGCTCAGCACTTTCTCTTGGCTTAAGCACCAGAAAAGGCACTGGTATCTAGAGACAAATATTCTAACTTTACCAGTTGTCCCCCACTGCAGGAGAATCCTATCCTTTCTGTGTTCCAACTGTTTGACTGTTAGTGCCAACACTATTAAATTTCTTTACACATCTGACTTGACCACTAGACTGGAAACACTTCAAAGTCAGAAGCTATGTGGTAACTTCACAGTCCCAACACCTGGCACATGGTAGAACTGTAAACGGAATAAATGTCGAAACATGCAAGCTAATGGAAAGAGAAACAGAAAGCAATACTAAAATCATAACCTATGGAGTTTTAAAAAATACTCCACTGACAGGACTGAACTTTCTTTTTTAATTTTTTTATTTTATTTTAGAGAGAAAGGGTGCATAAGCAGAGGAGAGGGACAGAGGGGGGGGAGAGGGAGAGGGAGAGGGAGAGGGAGAGGGAGAGAGGGAGAGAGAGAGAGAGAGAGAGAGAGAGAGAGAGAGAGAGAGAGAGAATGAATCTTAAGAGGTCTCCTTGCTCAGCACAGAGCCCGATGGAGAGCTTGATCCCATGACCCAGGAAACCATGATCTGAACTGAAATCAAGAGTCAGATCCTCAATTAACTGAGCCACCCAGGCGCCCCTGAACTCTTTATTATCAGGGACATCATCACTATAGACATTGGTGTTTTTGGTAAAAATTCTCTCCTATTCATTACACTTTGTAGTAGGAACCTAGGCATAGTGAACACCTGCATGCAGTGTCACATGTAATCAAAAAATCTTTCTTAAGGGGCACCTGGCTGGCTCAGTCAGTAGAGCATGCGACTCTTGATCTCAGGGTTGTAGGTTCAAGCCCCACATTGGGTGTAGAGATTACTCAAAATTAAAATCTTAAATTTTTTTTTTCAACGTTTATTTATTTTTGGGACAGAGAGAGACAGAGCATGAACGGGGGAGGGGCAGAGAGAGAGGGAGACACAGAATCAGAAACAGGCTCCAGGCTCTGAGCCATCAGCCCAGAGCCTGACGCGGGGCTCGAACTCCCGGACCGCGAGATCGTGACCTGGCTGAAGTCGGACGCTTAACCGACTGCGCCACCCAGGCACCCCTCAAAATTAAAATCTTAAAAAAAAATCTCGGAGTGCCTCGGTGGCTCAGTCAGTTAAGTGTCCAACTCTTGGTTTTGGCTCAG